GTTTTTATGGGAATTTTTCTGTACCTCACTTGGGGAGACACTGGGATTGTTTTTATGGGAGCTGGAGAGACACTGGGATGTTTTATGGGAATTTTTCTGTACCTCAGTTGGGTTGGGGAGACACTGGGATATTTTTTGGGAGTTGTGGAGACACCAGGATTGATTTTATGGGAGTTTTTCTTTACCTCAGCTGGGTTGGGGAGACACTGGGATATTTTATGGGAATTTTTCCATCCCTCTCGTGGCTCAGTGCCTGCCCAGCACCAGGTGGACACCGGGCACACCTGTGGGGTGTGGCCGTGCTGTTCCTCACCCCGAACACACTGGCATCCAGCTCTGCCCCTTTCTCTGCTTTCCAAGCCAACCCTGGCACACCAATGCTGGCTGATGTCATCTGAGCCCATTCTCTGCTCCCCAACAGGCTCAGGGTTTCCATGGTGAGATTGAAGAGTTCCTCCTGTGGTTAACGAGGATGGAGAGCCAATTGTCGGCGTCCAAACCCACGGGAGGTCTGCCAGAAACTGCCCGGGAACAGCTCAATGCCCACATGGTAATTTCTCAACAGAGATTTTCTTTTAATGCTTTTAATCTACCGAGTTCCTGTCAAACATCACCATCAAAACTTCTCCTTTTTGCGTGTGATGGGGAGAATTAAAAAAAAAAAAAATCATTTTGGAGCAGCCGGCAGATGCTTTGAGCACCTTTTCCCATCTCAAAGTGTCACTTTGCTGTCACATCCTGTCACCTGGAGCTCTGTGGCACATCCTGTTCCCTTCTCCCACCTCTTTGCAGGAGCTCTACAGCCAGTTCAAAGCCAAGGAGGAGGTTTACAGCCAGCTGCTGGCCAAGGGCAGGCTGATGCTGCTCAGYCGCGACGATTCCGGCTCCGGCTCGAAGACAGAGCAGAGCGTGGCCCTGCTGGAGCAGAAATGGGGTCTGGTCAGCACCAAGATGGAGGAGAGGAAGGTAATTTTGAGGAGAAAGTGCACCCAGCTTCACCCCTTTGCCTGCTCTGCTTTCCCACCCAGGGCTGGGTTTTTTGGTTTTTTTTTTATCTGTTTCTTTTAGTTGTGCAAATTGAACCGAATTTCATCTGGTTTTCAGGTGGTGCTGTGTCAAACTGTTAGCGTGGGGTTTTTCTTCTAGATAGTCGTCAGAATTGGTTAAGTCACACAGGAAATGGGAGCAAAGTGGTGTTTTGAGTTAATTTAGGGAGGTGGGAAGGAGCCTCCCGCGGCTCTCAAAGGGAGCCTTTGTTGGTCAAGCCAATCCTGCTCTGAGCTGACTCCATCCTCAGTTTTTGGCCAGGGATGAGATGAAAYGAGGGCCTGGTGATGGCCTGGGCCCAGAACTGATGAGCAGCACTGCAGCTGCTGCCACCAGAATCTCATCCCCCATCACCCAACCCCAGGGAGATCCCGTCCCCAGAATCTCATCCACCCCATCCCCACAGAGATCCCTTCCCAGGGTCTCATCCCCCATCATCCTGTCCCCACAGAGATCCAATACACCCCATCCCCACAGAGATCCTTTCCCCAGGATCTCATCCCCCATTGCCACAGAGATCACTTCCCAGGATCTCATCCCCCAACCCCCATTAGGATCCCTTTCTCAGGGTCTCATCCACCCCGTCCCACAGAGATCCGTTCCCCAGGATCTCATCCCCCATCATCCTGTCCCCATGGAGATCCCATCCACCTCATCCCCACAGAGATCCCTTCCCCACAATCTCATCCCCCAACCCCATGAGGATCCCTTTCCCAGGATCTCATCCCCTATCACCCCATCCCCACAGAGATCCCTTTCCTGCTCATGTCCCCCCCTTTCAGGTCCCCCTTTCAGGGCCCGTTCCCATTTGGAGATAAAGCCGTGGCTGTCACTGCAGCCCCCTCCCCTCAGCTGTTCCCAGGGGCTGAGGTTCCTGCAGCAGAGACCCCAAATCACCTCTGTGTGCAGATCAGATCTCTCACCCTCCTCTCTGTGTTTTTTTCCTCTCTTTCTCTCCCTCCCCGCAGGCAAAGCTAGAGGAGGCGCTGGCCCTGGCCACCGATTTCCAGAATTCCCTCCAGGATTTCATCAACTGGCTGACCCTGGCTGAGCAGAGCCTGAACATTGCTCCCCCTCCCAGCCTCATCCTGGCTGCCGTGCTGGCCCAGATTGACGAGCACAAGGTGCCTTAATTGCCTTGATTGGCCAGTTTTAATTACCAGGATTAAATGAAATTCAATTCTTTGCCCGGCAGAATTTCTAGCTAGGCTGGAATGTCAGGCTAGAAGAATTATGAGTATTAATTATATGTTACATTATATATATATATATGCAATAATATAATATCTTAATATATATTTATTGTGTATTACAGTAATATATTATATACTATATTAGTATAGATTATGTGTATTATACTATAATATTATATTAATTATATACTATTATATAATTAATATAATAATATATAATATAATGTCTTATCTATTATATTAATAATATAATATAATATATAATTATAAATTATTTGTATATATGTTATATATATATAATATATATATATAATATGGAATTAATTAGTTATACAAGGTTAAGGGTACAGGGATGCATAAAGGGTACCGAAATGTTTCAAAGGGTGTATAAAATATATAAAAGGGGATATATAATATAGAAAAGGGAGTATAAAATATATTAAAGGGGGATATAAAATATAAAGGGGGATATAAAATATATAAAAGGGAGCTATAAGATATATAAATGGGCATATAAAATATAAAGAAGGATACAAAATATTAAGGGGGATATAAAATATTAAGGGGGATATAAAATATAGAAAAGGGAGTATAAAATATATAAAGGGGATATGAAAATAAAAGGCAAGAGTCATCAGGCATCACCCCAAGGGCTCCATCCCCGGGATGGAGGTGGCCATGGGGGTTCCTCACCTCCTCTGACCCTTTTTTTGTTCCCAGGTATTTGCCAACGAAGTGAACGCTCACCGGGATCGCATCATCGAGCTGGACCAGACCGGCAACCAGCTGAAGTTCCTGAGCCAGAAGCAGGACGTGGTGCTGATCAAGAACCTGCTGGTCAGCGTGCAGTCGCGCTGGGAGAAGGTGGTGCAGCGCTCGGTGGAGCGGGGACGCGCCCTCGACGATGCCAGGAAGAGAGCCAAGCAGGTGACAGGCGTGGGGAGGGTGGGACAGAGCCAGCAGGACATCCCAGCACCCCAAAGGGACTGGGGACACCACCAGTGAGGGGTTTCAGGCTTGCTGGCGTTGTTTTTTTGCAGTTCCACGAAGCCTGGAAGAAGCTGATCGATTGGCTGGAGGATGCGGAGAACCATCTGGACTCKGAGCTGGAGATTTCCAATGATCCTGACAAGATCAAGCTCCAGCTGTCCAAACACAAGGTGAATTTTGGCAAATTCTGGGCACAGGGTGGAAGAGTGGGGAGGGAAACATCTCCTCTGCCACCAGGATGGGAGAAAAGCATGTCCATGCCCCATGGAAATCTGGGAATCTCCAGGCTTTCTGAAGGAATTCTGTTTTCTCTCCATTCCCCAGGAGTTCCAGAAGACTCTGGGAGGGAAGCAGCCTGTCTATGACACCACCATCAGGACAGGCAGAGCCCTCAAAGAAAAAGCTTTGCTTCCAGATGACACTCAGAAGCTGGACAAYCTGCTGGGAGAGGTCCGGGATAAGTGGGACACGGTGTGCGGAAAATCCGTGGAAAGGTAAATCCAGCCCCAACGATGCCTAAACCCAGCTCCATAAACCAGAGGATGGATAAAATCCTGAGAATCCACAGCAGTTCTGTTTATGGAAGGGTTTTTAGGGATATTCAGGGCAGTCCCACACCCGCAATGGACAATGGCTCATGGGTTTTTCACCCTTTCTCACTTTTGTCCATTTGCACAAAATCGTGGCTGAATCCTCCAATTGCAGCTTCAGTCAATGCAGTCATTGACTCCAAGTTGGCTCCCCCAATTCTCTGTTGTTTCCATCTCTTGGGGTCTGGCACAGTGAGGTGCCCTTGGGTTTTGGGCCTGGAGAGGAATTGTTTTGTGTAAAAATGGGAGAGCAGTGGTTTAGAACTCTATATGGAGTCTGGAGTTATAAATTAAAGAATTCCAGGGTTACAGAGACATGGAAATACAGAAACAAAAATCCTAAAGCATCACCAGCATTGTACCAGCAATTCTCTCGTGCCAAAGGGGTTCCATGGGGTGGCTGGAGGTCCCTGGGATGTGACAGAAGGAGAGGAGGGTGCTCCTGGAAGTTCACGGGGGTGTTCTTTTTTGCATTTCGCAGGCAGCACAAGCTGGAAGAGGCACTGCTGTTCTCAGGGCAGTTCATGGATGCGCTGCAGGCGCTGGTGGATTGGCTCTACAAGGTGGAGCCCCAGCTGGCTGAGGACCAGCCTGTCCATGGGGATCTGGACCTGGTCATGAACCTGATGGACGCTCACAAGGTCAGAGCTCCTTTCCCAGCCCTGAGCGGGGTTTGTYCTCCCCGAGAGCCTGGCACGCAGTGGGTCTGCCCATCCTGCTTTCCTAAAGATGGAAAAACCAACAAAAAACTGGGCAGGGCGTTGAAATCCCTGTGAAAGTGACAGCATGGAGCTGCCTCTCCTTGCTGAGTTGTGCTGTCTCCATCCAGGTGTTCCAGAAGGAGCTGGGGAAGCGCACRGGGACGGTGCAGGTGCTGAAACGCTCGGGCCGGGAGCTCATCGAGAACAGCCGCGACGACACCACCTGGGTGAAGGTGCAGCTGCAGGAGCTGAGCAACCGCTGGGACACGGTGTGCAAGCTGTCTGTGTCCAAGCAGAGCCGCCTGGAGCAGGCCCTGAAGCAGGTGAGGGGGAAAAAAACGGGGTTGGGAACTCTCCTGGAGAGCTTTGCCGGGTTCCAAGTTCGTTCCGCGCTCAGGGAGGAGGYTTGGCCCTGGCCACGCCAGTTCTGCAAGGATTCCTGCAAGGCAGCAGGCTGGTGTCAGCCAGTTTTGGGGTTTTTTTTCCCCCAAAAAATGAGCAGATGATGACTGGTTTGAAAAGGGAGGGTGGGAAGATCTYGCTGATGTGCAGCAGGGATCAGAGACAAGCCAGGCTGGCGTTTGCCAGCGTCCAGAGAGACTCGATTGAAGCTTTAAAATAAAAACACCCAAAAAGGTCAAAGGCTCTTAAGCAGCTTTTACGTCAAGTGGGCAATTTACAGAATAAACCACCTGAGTGCCAAATTGCCCAGGATACAGCACTTGTGCTGTTTTTAAAAACATTTCGTTCTCCGGCTCAGCTGATGCCAACGGGAGGGCGGTACCCGAGTGCCACAGGACCCGGCTGCCCAAACCCCAGCCCCAAACAGGGCTTTTTCCCCCCCATTTTATGCATTTTCAAAGCCCCAGCCCCAAACAGGGCTTTTTTCCCCCCATTTTATGCATTTTCAAAGCCCTTTCAGTCCCAAACAGGGCTTTTTCCACCCCATTTTATGCATTTTCAAAGCCCCAGCCCCAAACCGGGCTTTTTCCCCCCATTTTATGCATTTTCAAAGCCCCAGCCCCAAACAGGGCCTTATTTGAATAGCCAGCCCAAAGAGGCATGATGAGGTACCATTTGTGCACAATCACCTTGCTTCAGACATACCTTAAAGCAATCAGTGATACTCCTCTGACAGGGCTTTTTTTCCCCCCATTTTATGCATTTTCAAAGCCCTTTCAGCCCCAAACAGGGCTTTTTCCCCCCATTTTATGCATTTTCAAAGCCCCAGCCCCAAACAGGGCTTTTTTCCCCCCCATTTTATGCATTTTCAAAGCCCTTTCAGTCCCAAACAGGGCTTTTTTTCCCCCATTTTATGCATTTTCAAAGCCCAAGCCCCCAAACAGGGCTTTTTCCACCCCATTTTTTGCATTTTCAAAGCCCTAGCCCCAAACAGGGCTTTTTTTCCACCCCATTTTATGCATTTTCAAAGCACTTTCAGCCCTGTTGTCACTCCAGCTGCCAAGGGTGAACCCAGCAGCCCTTTTTGGGATGGGAAGGGCTGACTGGAACCCGTGCTCTTGCAGGCTGAGGAGTTCAGGACAGCGGTGCACATGCTGCTGGAATGGCTCTCGGAAGCCGAGCAGTCCCTGCGCTTTCGGGGAGCGCTGCCCGACGACGCCGAGGCCCTGCAGGCGCTCATCGATGCCCACAAGGTGAGGAGGAACCCCAAAACACAACCCAGGAATGGTTTAGGGTGGGGAATTCGGTGAAATAATTGCTTTGGGGCTCGCAGGAGTTCATGAAGAAGGTGGAGGAGAAGCGGGTGGACGTGAACGCGGCGGTGGCCATGGGTGAGGTCATCCTGGGCGCTTGTCACCCCGACTGTATCACCACCATCAAGCACTGGATCACCATCATCCGGGCCAGGTTCGAGGAGGTGAGTCCTGCAGGGTCCATTTGGGATCAGGATGGTCCTGGGGTGGCTGTGGGGTGCTGTGTTCTGGGTTTCTCACATGGGGTGGTCACTCCTGCGCTCCCCACAGGTCCTCACGTGGGCAAAGCAGCACCAGCAGAGGTTGGAGGYGGCGCTTTCCGAGCTGGTGGCCAATGCAGAGCTGCTGGAGGAGCTGCTGGCCTGGATCCAGTGGGCTGAGACCACCCTGATCCAGCGGGACCAGGACCCCCTGCCCCAGAACATCGASCAGGTCAAGGCGCTCATCTCCGAGCACCAGGTGAGAGGGGCAGGGCTGGGGGTGATCACATGGAGGAGGCACTGAATCCTCTTGGAATTCTTTATCAAAGCTAAATGGGACCCTGCTGGAGCAAAACCAGCCCAGGGATGAGCTCCAGCCCCATAAATCCAAGCCAGGGCAGAGCAGCAGCTCAGCCACAACTCCAAATCACTGGTGCTCCCTGCTCCCCTCTCTGTGGGTTTGACATGTCCCAGTGAGACCTGAAAACCAAAAAAATGGTGAAATTGCAAAGTTTTTTTTGGTGAATTTTTAATCTTTTCTGTGTTTTGACAGTCCTTCATGGAGGAGATGACACGGAAGCAGCCRGACGTGGACCGGGTGACCAAAACGTACAAAAGAAAAGCCACGGAGCCTCCCCACGGGCCCTTCATCGACAAATCCCGCAGCAACAGTAYGTCTGCTTTGGGTCTGGGATGGCAGGAAGTGCAGTTCCTGGGAAGCTGATTAGCTCTGATTATCAATTAACGAGGCATCCTGCACTAACAGCCACCAGGAAGGCGGCAGGAGGGGAGGATCCAGGTGGCGTTTCCCRAAACAGCCGCGCTGGATTTGCTGTTCCCAGGGGTGCTTGGGCCGGCACTGCTCTCCTCTTGCTCTCTGGGATGAGGTTTTGGGGTCTTTTTTAATGTTTTTTTCCTGAAGGCAGAGTCCAGTGTGTATTCCTGGGTGTTGAGCTGTCTCTCTGTCCCCTCACCTGCGTCCCCTGGGAGCTTTTCCCTTTTCCCAAAAAAAACAAAACCACATTTCAGTGCTGCTCTTCAGCCTCGCTGCACCCACAAACACCCCCTCAAACAGCTTCTCCCTGTTTTTTCCAGGGAAATCCTTGGGGCAGGCAGCTCCCCCCAGCATGCCCATCATCTCCCAGTCAGAAACCAAGAACCCCAGGATAAACCAGCTCTCAGCACGCTGGCAGCAGGTCTGGCTGCTGGCMCTGGAGAGGCAGAGGAAGCTCAACGATGCCCTGGACAGGCTGGAGGAGGTAACAACCCCTGCGAGTTCATCCATCCCCTGGGAGCTGCAGGGAGCATTTTAAATCAGCTCTTGCAGACAGCTCCTGCTGCCTTTCCAATAAGCCAAATATTCCTAAAATATTAAAGCTAAAAAACCCTTTGGTAATTAACTTATTAACTGCACATTAACTAGCTTTGCGCCCCTGTAGTTGGTATCTGTAGAGTTAATGACAGCCAGGCCCTGCTCTCCCCTTAGTAATTAGTTTAATAATTACTGTCTCTATTTTATCCAACCATCTAATGTCATTTTTGTTTTTATTTACGCTTAACAAAGCAGCTATGCCCAGAAGTGAGTGGTGTTTTG